TCTCTCTCTCTCTCTCTCTCTCTCTCTCTCTCTCTCTCTCCACACCCTCAGGTCTCACGATCCCTCTCTGGATGTCCTCACTCACTCTCTCTTCTTTTACACAGCGCTTCTGCAACAGCCTGAATTGGAAAGGAGGAAGTTCCTGGGTGCAGCTTCCCTTTTGTCCATGCAGGTACCTCCCAGTACCTTGTTATGCTCACTGTTGATGTCGCCTTCTTTATCTCTGTGTGGAGATGCATATACATGGAGTTCTTTTCATTTTTCGAAGCACCTGCGTATGAACATCTCGTGGTTTTGAAACTGCAATGGCTGAGCATATGTGTAACTGCTTCTAGCAGTACCAGACCTTGCACTGTTTGGGCCGTCAGGTACTCCAATATCTTCCCTTCCTACACCCTTTGTCTCTCTTTTAATGTGTTCGTTGGCCAGGCTCTGAAAATAATGAATGGAGGCATTGCAGGGATCGTTTTGTAAGGAAATTAGCTCAGCAATGTTGCGCTAAAAGGAAACTGTTTTGTGGTTTATTGCAGATTTCTGTCCTCCAGTTGGACGACATGGTGGAAATGTGTCAAAGTCCAACAACGAGAATACAAACCGACTAAAAGCAGAGAAATTGGCACACAATTTGTTCATGCAGTCACTGACAGCACACGGGGGCAGAGCTTGCCAATAGCTATCATGTCCTTATAATGAAAGGTGTGCCTCTGCCAATCGTTATGCCAAAGAGCCATCCTCTCTCCTCAAGAAAACATGTCACAGCTCCATCCTTTGTTTTCCAGGTATTGGCTGATGAATCTTATGTGATTGCATTTCCAATAATTCAGAAGCAGGAAACTGAAGAATTATCTCTGCTTTGTGAAACATCATCCCCTTTGCCTATTCCTTTTTTCTTCTTTTTTTTGGACCATTTATCGATTCATTTGTCTCATCCTTGTGCAGGGGCCATGCTAATCTTCTCTTAATTGTTCCAGTTTTAGTGCATGTCCCAAAGGACCCCTTTGCCTATTCCAGTTCAGCAGAAGCCCAGAATCCTTTTCTTCCTGAGAAAAACAAGGCACTGTCAGATTCCTTATCTTGAACCTATTTTGGCACGTCAAGCAGTGCTAAACCATTAACGACAGTTCAGACTTTCCAAGTCCGACTTTTTGTCCTCTTATTGTGGGGCAGTAGAGTCTTGTGATGCTGCTGAGTATAGGATGTCTATACTGGCTCTGTAGGTATTCTATAGGGCTCTGCAGCAGGATAGCACATTATCAGTATGGGTAACGTAATCAGCATGGCCTAGCCTCTGTCTAGCACCATTAAAATGCGCGAGCAGCTGACCACTCCGGTAACAGAGCCAGGCCGAAAAACCTGGCCTTTGGGTCAGTCGGCCTCGCTGCGGAAAAGTGCCGCAGGCTGACCTGAGTGGACCGGTTGGTAGCCGACCGTTTGCATGTGCAACCCTGGCAAGCGTGGAAAGAATGGGGGTGGGCCCAAATCTTTGGAAATGGGTCCGAATACTCCACGATGATGCCTCCGGTTGCGTTCAGGTCAATGGTCTCTTATCCGAGCGCTATCCGATCTCAAGATCAGTCCGTCAAGGGGACCCCTTGGCCCCTCCTGTTTTCCTAATTGTTATGGAGGCCATTGCATTCTTCTTCCGCAAGAACCCTTCAATTCAAAGGCTGCCAGACCTCAACTCAGGTACTCCTCACCACCTAGCATTTCCAACAGTCATAATGTTTGTGGATGATCTCACGGTACTCATAAGGGCATCCGACTCCTTGGTGAAAGTGCGAGGCAAAGGCCTCGATATGCCCAACTGGGCCCCCATTTGCAACAGCGTCGGCCGCCCTAAGTGAAGGCAGGCCCGACGGACCCTAAGAGGCCAATTTTGGACTATTTCGCAACTGGAGAAAATGCAGGCAGTTGCGCAGCGCCAATTGGTTGGAAGCGGCCAGGCCCTGATCTCCTTTATCAAATGCATCTGAGTCAGGCCCTGGGCGAGATTCGCAGCATAGGCCCAACTCAGACCGTGGGTAGTTGGGCACAAGTAACTGTCGGTGGCCCTGGCCAATTCGTTTGGTCTGAGGCTCAGCCTCCCTGGGCCTACCGGAAGCTTCTGGGCCGAGGCCCAGCACAGCCAGGCTGCACGCACGCGGGCTGGCCATTTCCATATAGGAAAGGGCCAGCCCACGCTTTGGAGATTTGGGTGCTGGCTGCATGCTGCGCAAGCGCTGCTGCGCTGAAGCTGGCTGGCACTCACGCGCTCACGGGCGAGCTGGAAGGAGCAGGCAGCCATAGTCAAGCTGCGCTGCTGTAGGCTGGGTGTGGGGCATGGTGGTCCTTGGGTGCATGTGGCATCTGTGTGTTGGGGAACGAGGTTGTGAGTGATGCGAGAGACATACCTGGTGCTGGAACGTGCGGCATTAGCCGCTATCTGCTCGTACTTTGGGAGAGCTGTTGTCGTCATCTTCGGCATTGTAGTCTAGGCTAGATAGGATCTGCCATCTGTAGTCTGGGCGCCAAGCACCAGATAGGATACCAACATTGGTTCTTCGTTGATGATGATGATGAGACTATTCCAGCATTGTCAATTATGAGCTTCTGGTGTACTCTTATTTGGTGAAACTCGTGATGCAATTCTGCTTTTGGTTCGAGGTCACGACTATCTGGTCTTATGTGTATGATGCTGTTTGATTGCTGAAGTTCGCTATTGCTCATCTTCCTTGCAATTTGGTATAAGAGCTGTGGTACGTTGCGCTCATCTGGCGCTTGTCTTCTGCCTATGCGGTACATACATGCGGTCTGCTTGGTGAGTGAGGCCGTAGGTGGTGTGTAGTGAAGAGGGCGGAGACAAGGTGTGGCGACCCAGGAGGAGAGGGGAATCACCAGGAAGGCTACGGTGTGTATATTGGGTGTTCGCAGTGTGATGAGAACCATCTGGTGGTTGATTGATGCTGAGGTGGAACGGCGAGATAATGCTGGTTGTGCCGATGCAGTGACTGGCCATCGCAATCGCCATCAGGTCATCTGGTGAGAATATCTGTGGTTGGGGGCAGCTATAATGAGGTACGTTGCTCTTAACCTTATCTACCCTCTTCATCACTTCTTACCGTGAGGTTGTGAGTTCCTTCTTGAGAGTCCTCTCATGTGAGGTGTCATGTGCGCTCAACCTTGAGAGTCGGCATTGTTCTCGTGGAGCATCTGGAAGGAGTGGGCGGTGCTTTCTGAAGGGCCCTGGACGGAGCACTGGGTCACGGTCACCATGCCAACCCACCGGGAGTAGAGCACGCATGCTTTGCTGCTTTGTCCTTGTCTGCTTGTTGTGCTCATAGAAGGGGTACTGAAGGGCAGGCCAGCCCTATGGGAGAGACGAGTACCGGGCGTCTATAAATAAACACCGGCTGGGGAAACCATTGGTTGTGATCGTCGTCCTGCTGCGACGTAAAATAATTCCTGATGACACTTGGGGGCGGTCGTTAAATTGCCTCTGGATCAGCCAATGGGTGTACGGCTCGCTGCATGTGAGGATAAACACAGTGCAGGGCTGGCCAGCTCAGCAGCTACTCGGGGCACAGGGGTGGGCCGTGTGCACACCTTTAGTCACGCATGCCAAACCGGATTGCTCAGGGACGCTGACGTCAAGTGACAATCAAGGGGAATTGGGGGAAGGGGTAGATTCCAGGTGATAGGTTTGAGTAAGATCCCATGTTGTAAACAGACCCAACAAATGATATTATTTTTATTTTGATTAGTTAGATGTACTACCATTGACATCTGACAGACAGCATAGTTTAGAACTGTACTTTGTTCATTGTGCTTTCTCTTCGCGAACTAGTCAAAGTAGAATAGTATCATTTGTAGGAATCCGAACTTACCTGTTGAACCCAAATGCATCTACTCTGACATAGCCACCAATGATTTTAAATTGGTCTATACATTATGCTGCAGTAAGCAACTTTATTGTCCTAGTGCAAGCGGTGTATAGTGTTGTAGCCTATGAGCGACAGGGAGGACACTAGAGAGGACGACCGGATCTTGCGATCGGCCAGACGCCCAATTGCCCACTTGGCATTAGGACCAGAGGGCGACAAATATTTGTTCCGCCAGCAGAGAGAGAGGCAGCAGCAGCAGAGGAGAGCTAGAGCAACAGAGGCTAGCAGGGCACTCGTAAGTGAGGCCGCTACTTCAGCAGCCATAGCCACTGCCGCGCAGCAAACTTCTCAGGCTAGTAGTTCAGGTTCCGTGGGGTCAACGGTCGCACAGAACGTGAGTCAGTCCACTGGCGTTATGGCAAGCCAGCCATTAGTGATGACTCTCGAGGAGGTTGCCATACAGCGAGCTCCTGATCGCGAGGCACATCTACAGCAGGCTGGAGAGATTAAGGCTGAGAAAGAGAGAATGATTAGGAGAAGAGTCAGGATGTAGCGGAGGCAAGCGGACATTAGTGAGTTAGAGGAGATGGACCCAGCAGAGATGGAGGATGATGTGAGAACCTTACGGTCGGTCTTGTTAATTGTAGTAGAGATGCAAGATCACCAGACGGAGATCTTACAGGACATCCAACAGAGTCTGGTTGTGTTAGTCGGGTGAATGCAAGCGGCATCATCACCGTTCGGGCCCGGTGCCTGACCCGTTGTACATCCTCCTCCTTTTGTCCCACCGGTGACTGGGGTATCCCCATATACAGCTCCAGCATCGGTCCAGACCGTTTCCCTGGGTATGTCGTTAGCAGGAGGGCTCTCAGCAGGTCCTAGTTTACAGGTTCCTGTACAGACAGTGTTCACCCAACCTCCGTCGCAGGTTGTCGTAAGCGTGCAGCCTGCTGTCTCGCAGCCTACACAGCCGCAGGGTACACAGCCCTAACAGTCAGTGCTGCAGCCTGCACCACTGGGTCCACAACCCGGAATGATGCAGGGACCGGGACAAAGTCAGTGGGTACCAAAGACGGCCATCGCCGCTCCTAAACCCTTCACAGGGGATAAGAGGGGCGAAGACCTCGACACTTGGTTGAGGGCAGTGCCGGTTTATGTCAAGTGCAAACTTACCTTGCCGCACGAGGAAGTGCTTGTGGCTGCCTCCTATTTAGAGGGGAGTGCAGCACGATGGTTGAGTGGTTTAGTGCAGCTACAGGGGTACGGTCATGACTTTCGCGCTTGGGCAGTCGCACAGAAACTGGACGATTTCCTCAAGTTGGTGGAAGACAAGTGGCATGATCCTCAGGAGGCCCAAAAGGCCACTGATGCGATCCTGACACTGCACACGAGGCAGTTCAAGTCAGTAAGGGAGGCCACTGACGCTGTAGAGCGTCTGATTTGTGTCCCTAGGGTTCGCTATGACCCCAAGGTTTTACTCACCTCCTACCTGAGATGCTTTCCCATACCTCTTAGGAATCAGTTGGCAGGTGAGGCCAACATCAACATGCACAACTTTCCCTCGTTTAGTAAGAAGGTCCTAGACCTTGAGGCAAAGATAGGGCATGGACATAACCCCACGACGGATGGTAGGAAGAAGTCACCCAACTGGAAGGCGAAGGGCCGCATCATGTTCGTCGACAACGATGGTTCTACCATCGAGTTGGACGACGAGTTCCAGGCCGGAGTAGGTTCATAGGCAGGCAGCGTAGAGGCTTCAGGGGGTGGAGTAGTCGTTGTCATAGTTAAAAAAGGAAAGGCGACCGGTAGACGCCGAGGCGGTTCCCAGTCAAGGAGTCGACCCCAATGCTCCTCCATGGGAGAAAGCAGGTCTCACTGAGGATGTGTGGAGAGATCGGTATACAAGGCAGGCTTGTATCCGTTGTGGCCAATATGGCCATAACCAATTCAAGTGCCGAAATAAGAAGGTAACCGAAAAGATCCTGCCTACGATGGGGCAGGCGTTGGGATCCTCCGCTCCCGTTGGTAGCAATGTGGCTAGCACTTATGGCACTGCTCCGAGAAACACGCCGGTCCAGTAGGAATAGTAGTTGTTCCTGCTAGGGTTGAGGTGGTGGACACACCCTCACCATCTTGAGAGATGGCCCAAGCTACTGACTCCACCGTCGTCCCGCAAACACATTCAGACCCATCGACCCTCTGTTCGATGAATGTGTTTGAGTCCTTAGAGGAGCTAGAGGAGGAATGGTCTAGGTCAGACCCACTAGCTTCTTTGACGGCACTAGTCAAAGCTCCTAAGGGTGAGATGTTCGTCAGCGAGGTAGTCATCAGCGGCCGCAAGGCCGGGGCCTATTATGACACTTGCTCGACACGGAACTTCATTAGTTGCGCGTGCATTGAGAGGCTGCGCTTACAGGGGCAAGTGCAACGCCTGATTCGACCTGTGGAGTTGTTGTTTTCCATACGCAGGAGGGGAATTGAGACATCGAGTCTCGTTCCTAGTGAGCGATGAACTCCCCATGGATATGTTGTTAGGTATGTACTACCTCTCTGTGGCACAACCCCAGTTTGACTGGGACCGAAAAGTGGTCAAACACACTTTGCCAGGTGGGGGGAACGCCAGATTACGTAAGTTCAAAGCTAGTAGTCTGATCGAGTCCCACGGATGCATGTGTGCGGCCGCGTTCTATAATTACTATAAGCAAAATCAGGAGGAGGGTATGTATCTAGTTTATGTCTCTGTTGCAGGCGAGCCGGTGAAAATGCCGCCGAAGATAGAGGGAGTAGTTGCTAAGTACCCTGATCTATTTGAAGAGCCGACAGGGGTTGCTGAGAGGGAGGTCGTCCACGCGATAGAGATTATCCCAGGGTCTAGCATCCCAAAGGGTAGGATCTATCGGATGTCTACAGGCAAGCTTGACGAGCTTTGCCGACAACTCAAGGAACTCGTAGAAAAGGGGTGGATCTGACCGAGTGTTTCTCCTTATGGTTCACCAGTCTTATTTGTACCAAAGAAAAAGGAAGGAACACTTAGGATGTGCAGGGGCCTCAATGCCATCACTGTAAAGAACAGAGAGCCCCTACCACGCATCGATGATTTGCTAGATGGAGTGCAAGGGTGTCGGTATTTCAGTAAGATAGATTTGAAGTCCGGGTACCATCAGATTGCAATCCGGCCTGAGGATCAACACAAAACCGCATTTCAAACCAGGTACGGTCTATATGAGTTTGTGGTGATGCCTTTTGACCTTTGCAATGCTCCTGGCACCTTTCAGCACGCTATGAATCGGATATTTCATGACTACTTGCATAAGTTTGTCATCGTGTACCTCGATGACATACTTATTTTTAGTAAGACTGTCGAGGAGCACGTTGCGCACTTGGACAAAGTCCTGAGTCTTCTGCGACAGCACAAGTTCAAGATCAACGGTGAGAAGTGCAAGTTTGGCCGCACCTGTGTCTTGTACTTGGGCCATGAGATTTCCGCGGAGGGATTAAAGCCCGATGATGCGAAGGTGGCCAGCATTCGTGACTGGCCGCGTCCTCAGTCTGTGACTGAGATGAGGTCTTTCTTAAGGATCACCGGCCACTATCGCAATTTCGTGAAGAACTATAGCATAGTTGCTGCCCCTTTGACCGACCTGACTCGCCTTGACACCCCATGGGAGTGGACAGACAGATGCGAGGCTGCTTTCAGACATCTGAAGCATGCGTTGACGCATCATGAGGTCTTGAAACTTCCTGATCCTGACAAGCCATTTGTAGTAACTACGGATGCTAGCCAATATGGCATAGGCACCGTACTTGCGCAGCAGGAGGGGAAGAAGTTGAGGCCGGTAAAGTACATGTCAAAAAAGATGCCCGCTCAGAAGTTGGCTAAATCCACTTATGAGAAGGAACTCTATGCGATCTACAAGGCGCTCACCCATTGGAGACACTATCTCCTTGGGAGGTTCTTCTACGTCAGGACTGATCACTAGGCCCTGAAGTGGATGAGAACCCAGCCTGTGCTCTCTGACGCTTTGAAGCGTTGGATTGAAGTCATAGAGCAGTATGACTTTGAGCCCTAGTACATTAAGGGCGAGTACAACAAGGTTGTTGATGCGTTGTCGCGTAGACCAGATTTCTCTGGTGCACTGATCACTGAGTTTGGGCTTGCGGACAATGTTACTAGTCTATGGTGGAAGCCTATCGCGAGTACCGGTTTATGTTTGAGATCATACGCAGACTCGAGGTGAAGGACAAAGCAACTTCTGCCGAGTTTGAGTTGGTCAACAGATTGCTGTTCCTTGAGAAGGCAGGGAATAAACGTCTGTGTGTGCCAGATAGAGAGTCTTTGCGTAGTTTATTTTTAGGCGAGTGTCATGATGCCACAGGACATTTTGGTTTCAAAAAGACTGCAGTCAATCTGCTGCAGCAGTTCTGGTGGCCCACGATGATGAGAGATGCGAAGCTGTACGTGGAAACTTGTCAAGTCTATCAGAGAGACAAGCCACGTACACAGGCTCCTCTTGGGCTTTTGAAGCCCCTTCCGATTCCGGAAAGGCCTGGTGAAAGCCTGTCCATGGACTTCATGGATACGCTGGTCACCAGCAAGAGCGGGATGAGACACATCTTTGTTATCGTGGATAGGTTTAGTAAGTACGCTAGGTTAGTTGCAATGTCGGAGACAGCGAAGACTGAGCATGTGATTAAGATGTTCAAAGAGAACTGGGTTAGGGATTTTGGATTGCCAAAGTCTATAGTCAGTGACCGTGATGTGCGATTCACAAGTGAACTATGGAAAGCCGCAGTTGCAGAACAGGGAACGCAATTGCAGATGACGTCAGGAAACCATCCCAAGGCGAATGGACAAGCAGAACAGTTGAACCGCGCTGTACAACACCTGCTGAGGCATTACATTAAGCCAAATCAGGTAGACTGGGATGAGAAACTTGCTCTCATTGCCAGCCTGTACAATAACGCGGTCCACAACGCAACGGGCGTGAGCCCAAATAGTCTGCTATTAACCTTTGGACCTAAACTGCCCTTGGATTTCTTACTACCTGAGAACCAGCACTCTGGTGCACCAGGGACTTTAGAGTTTGCTTATCGATATGAGCAACTGATGCAGCAGGCTGTTGAACAGATGCACAAGGCACAGGCGGCGATGATAGAGTCTGAGAACAAACACCGTCGCCCGTCCACTTTCCAGGTAGGAGAGAGAGTCTGGGTCAAGTCCTCAAAACTGGGATAGGAGCACGGGATCTCCCGCAAGCTCATGCCACAGTACTTTGGACCATGGGAGATTCTGGATGTTGTCCGGGGAGAACCGGATGGGCCCTCTTATGTTATTCGCATCCCTGCTCACTTACGTACTTACCCTGTTTTTCACGATTCTAAGCTTGCACCATTCAAAGGAACTGACCAGTTTCCTTCTCGTCGCTCTATGCTGCCCCCAACCATGGATGGAGAGGTCGACATCGACGACATCGTTGATCACAGAGAGATGCCAGTTCCAAGACCAATCGGCAGAGGACGTCCTCCAAAACCGAAGCTGCAGTACTGAGTTTGGTTCAGACATCACACTGATCCCAGGGAGGATAGATGGTTCACAAGGGAGGAACTTATGCAGACCGCTCCACAGGTAGTCGCTCACTATGAGAAGTCTCTACGGAAAGGCAAGCGTCAGATTATCGAAGACTGAACTTCTCAGAGGACTAGCGAAGTATGGAGGAGGGAATGCGAGGCAAAGGCCTCGATATGCCCAACTGGGCCCCTATTTGTAACAGCGTCGGCCGCCCTAAGTGACGCATGCCCAATGGGACAATGCGTAGGGAGCCAAGGAACCGCAATGTGATGAAAACGCCTGAAATGGACAATGCAAGGTCAGCGTAGCATCAACAAGCAATGTACATTCCGATATATACAAAATGGCACAAAGTGGCGCAGTGGAAATCTTTAAAGAGAAGATCTGATCTGATCTGGACTGACCCGACATCCATCATACATCGCACATGTGAGAAGGGAGGAGGGACCGCAAACACAGAAGAAAGGTCCCTCCTTACCACGGATGAGAGATGGGGGGAAGGGACGAGACGAAAGAGCAGGAGGCGAGGGAGTAGACCAAGATCGCAATAGCGAAGTCCCAAAAATAGTCCCTTGTCGAGTGTCCAATCAACGTCTGTCCCAGAAATGTCGAACCAGATCCTGGGCAATGTGCCCAACCTAACCTCTGCCTGTATTCCCTACTGATATCCTCTCTTACTCTCGTAGCTGAAGAAGAAGGTAAGAAAGAAAAGGAAGAAGGAGAGAGAGAGAGAGAGAGAGAGAGAGAGAGAGAGAGAGAGAGAGA